CACACCCACACACACCACACACTCACACCCACACTTCTCTATCGATGCAAACAATCAATCAAAAGATCGAATCACCAACACAAGAACAACATGAAGAATTATTTGAACAATACAGTTAAACATTGTAATGTCCATGTAGTGTTGTTTCGATTCCCTACGAAGAATTTCTTCAAGTAACACTCATTTATCATCAAGTATGTTCAAGTAATTTTATTCAGCCATGGTTGTATCAAAGCCTTTTGCCTCGTAATGATTCTGATACATCAATTGACTTTCTATCCTCGATTTCATCTTACTTTGAAGCATTATCGACGTTCTCTGTGAAATAGCAAAAATGAGTGTCATCGATGCAAATCGTCAATTTTCTTCGACAGTATTTGTTAATGCTCAAGTTTTACCCTGCTATTCGTTCATATCGCAAGTGAATGCGTTGATCACGACATTTTTCAAATTAACTCGAGCTGATTTTCTTCATACTATGTCATTAATCAATGCAATTCTTCAAGCTAATCAATATGTAAGCAGCATGATGACAAATACAATACTAGGAATATATTATATTTCTGAATTCGAACAATCAGAGTTAGATCCAATAAGAATCAGTTCAACCAGTAATGGAGGTAATGATGAAAATGGTAACATATTGCGTTGAGCTTTGGATTCAACATATAATGTATCTTACACAATGAGTACGGGTGATTGGACTATGCATTTGTATTCTGAACTTGTCCGAATCCATGCTTCTTATTTCGTGGTGAATTCTGTATTACGATTATCACTGATGTGTTGGTATGATAATAGTTGTATTAATGATTTTCGAAATCTTCTTGCTGGAGAAGGTATTGCCAGTATTCCGTCTGTCAATGCACTCGACCCTGACCGTTACAGTCGATTTTCACTAAAAACACTTCGACAGAAGCTATCTTCAGTGAGATTATGATTGAACAATGGAACAAATCGATTTCTTATGAAAATTTTTATCCAAAAATGTCAACCGGCTTATTGTTCATACACTCATGAAAGACGAAGTGATATTATCTATATAATTACAACAATTATTAGTCTCTTAGGTGGTCTAAATGTAATTCTTCGATTGATCAGTCCCTTCGCTGTAAGCATCTTTTTTCAATGTATTACTATCAAAAAAAAATCAACTCGCTCATCGCAAGTCTTAACCAATCAAGAAAGAACTCTTCGTTAGTGATTTTTTCATATCTTTTCTATTGATCTACTATAGAATGGGTAAATAACTGTTTACTTTAGAGAATTCTCGCATTTGTTCTGATCTATTAAATCAAATTCGACACAGACTTGTTCTTTTAAATATCTTTGATAGTGAATCCACTGAACAAGATACTATCCAACGTGAACGACTATCAACACGGTTTTACTTGTTACTTCTCTTGATCTGCATATGTACTGTAACAATCTATACATGTCTATCGACCGAAAAACTTCAAATATGATTATTTCAAATCCATCTCAAAACCAATATGAAGGATTAGTAATATCCTATTCGAAAACACTTCAATATCCTCGTAGTCAAGTTTCGATATCACACGAACGATTTCTTAAGATTAACATGACTTTTCACCAAGCATGTTAAAGCAATTTTGTCAAATATATTTGGCAATTATGTCTGTTTGGTGATGAAGATTGGCACTATCGAGAGCGAGCTGATCTTCGCGGACGTGTGGCGGCATACTTCGTCTTTCTTTCGATATTATGTGCACTTTCACAAACAACTATTAGTAATGCCATTGATGAATTCCTTGCCGATACATTTGTCAGTGCTCAAATGATGTCTGAATCTGAATTTCGCTTGCAAATAGCCGCTATTTTTTTCCATCAGTTTCAGATAATCACTGCAGAAAAATTTTCTCGCACTTTAAAATCAATACATGAAATGACAGAAGGCAATGGTTTTGTGTCGAGTTATTCTTTGACTTGGTTCTGGTGGTTCAAATATAATAGTTCAGTTACGACCATTCCTATACAAGCCGTAAAGTTTTCTGATGGATGTTCCTGTGAAACACGAAGTGATTGCCTTCAAGAGGGAGAATTTTATCAACCTTTCTCTACAATTCTGAATTTTGCAGTACTTGGGTGGAATGTGGCCTGTTCACCAGTCGAAACATTGCTACGATCAACACTGGAATGTTTTTACAATCAAACATGCGTTGATTTAGTCTTGTACTATGCAACTATCGAATTCATCGATCAGAATGAACTTCATGCATTGGTGAATATATCTGCTATGGATTCGACTGTAGAAAGTCGTTTTCAGACGAATACAGTGGTTCAAGAACTAGTCGATGAATTCTTTGTTGAACAATGGCCTATTGATATGTCTTACTCATCATTCTACAATCAATGTGTCTTAGCTTATTGTTCGTACACAATCGAAAAAGGCAACAATTTTCTTTATAGTGTATCAAGAAGTTTAGGTCTATACGGTGCATTAACTGTCAGTCTACGATTTATTGTTCCACACGTAATCAACCTAGTTTTCAAAATGAAAAATTACTTCTACAGAAATAGAGTTTCTTCTTTTGCTTGAAATAAATCAAATTCAAAATTTGAAATCTACTATGATACTTGGCAGAAATTTCGAGACTTCGATGATGAGGAAAACATCAATATGAAAAATCTGACGCCTGAGGGTGTAGAATGTGGGTATGGTTTTGAGTGAATAGTAGATTCAAACATCGTAAAACCCACACTGACACTCCGCACCCATACGCACTACTGATACGTATGTCATTTTGTCGATTGCTACTCGAGAAAAAAGTACAAATCACTTCTCGTAAACGCCATGTTGACCACACTATACCAAATATTCATACCTCTATAGACTTTCAAAACTATTGGTTTTTTGAAAACTTGAAACTCAGCATATATTTTTTCATGTTTTATGATCATTTTGCAGGCTTTAAAATACTCTATCGGTACTGATAAAATGATGCTTTTATAGTGGATTCTGTAACGTTTTGTTGTTAGTGTTGATGGAGTATGCACTTTATTATATCTTCTTTATCTTATATCAGCACGCACACACACACTGACACACGGTTTCCTTTTTATACGAAGCGATGAATACAGAGAGAACACTACAGTAAGGGTAGAAAGAGAAGGACAACAAGTTAAGGACAGAAAGAGAAGGATAACAAATTGAGAAAAGAACAATATAGTAAGGATGGATAGGGAAGGCCGAATAGGTATGACAATGCAAGAGGTAACAAGCGAAGAATCACATATAATGACAAGAAAAGGTGATCAGCTCATTAATGAAAGAATGAAGGTGAGGAGTATCACAATGGGAAGCATGGAATTGAAGATGAAATCATTTTGTGAAGTGATTTTTATCCAAGACCGTTTTGTGTACAAAGGACCTCTCGTCCTTTCAAACCTGAATTAAAGAGTTTATCGGAAAAACATTATATATATATATAACAATTCAAATATGAACAATGTTCTTCTAACAATTAACACAAAAAGTAACAAAAATCTAAATCAATTATTGGCCAAGAAAAAAACTGCGAAAAGTAATGTTAACAAATGTGATATCGAAAGATGCAACAACTACAACAGGAATAGACATGACTAATGAATAACATGTTTAACAACATTATATAAAACATCACCATCGAAAAATCTTACAAACTAGGAAAAAATATATTTCATATATTGACAATTTTTCTCTTGTAGTTGACCTTTTTATAATTGTTAATGTATCATTCACATAAAAACTAATCATCTTTAACATAGAAAATTTTCACCTTTTTTTTATTTTTAATATTCTTGATATCAACTTCATTATTTATCTTCGGTCTACAAAATCATATTTAAAACAAAAATCCTGATAATTAGAAAGAAATACGAATCCTTACTCAAACGCTGTATGTCAATATACAATAAAATTAAATATCAACAAAAAAACAAAATCAAATTACAAACCAAGAAGATAATTTCCTTCATAAATGACTATCTTATTTAATTGTACATGATAACTAGATACTCTATGATTAATAACCTTCACTAATGAATCAACAAAAAATCGAAACCATGGTCGTAGTCATTTGTTAACATAATACTCATCCCATTATTTTTTAATTACTACGTAATACACAAAATGTAATGTAATGAATTGATACATGGGAAAATAGAGAATTTGAAGCTCTATCAGAATGTGTAATTAATTTTTTCAAATTGTACTTTTAAAATTGAAAAAATCGATAAAAACTATGTGTGATGGAAAGAACTCGATGAAAGGTGTGGGAACGTGATAGTGTAGTCGTTGTCATTATACCCGATTTTCTTTCGGTATATCAAAGTAAACAAAAATATTAATATAGAGAGCGATAGAGAATTTTACGGGCTTTCAGAGTATACCATTACTTTACAAAAAAATGTTTTTATTGTCAAAATATACTATAAATACGTTGTGCAGCTTACTTTTTTCAGGGGAGTCTCTGGATTATTCTTATGCTTAACCACATGTCAAAGTAGGTCATATTCTCATCATCATCATCGTATTCGTATGATGATATTGCATTCTCTTTCTTTCTCTTTTTATATTCATATGCCTTCTGTTTTATCCGTTCTTTCTTGACACTATCACCTATTTACCTGCATTTTCTCTTCTCTTTCATCCTTTTTCTATGGCATTGCTGTTATCGCCTTGACGTATATAAAAAACAGGGTAATGCTTTTAGGTTTTTAAAAAATTGACTTATTAGTGGTGCGACAATATTATAGATACGCGTTGTTTCAAAATCATTACAATGAGCGACGATATTATTACAGAAATCAACTATCTTATTAACAAGACAGACGACTGTTCTGCTTGTTTAAATGCGTCTTCGAAATCTGATCTTGACACAAATAGTTTGGAAGTGCTCAAAGGCGAAGGCTTCACACAGGAAGAGTTTGAAGACGGTAGTGAGGTACAACAAGCGCATTTATTACTTGATTGTAATGAACAAAAAACATTAAACAAAATGTCGTTAGAATCTGTAAGCAAAACTGATCATCATCATCTTCAACATAAGAATATTCATTATGGAAAGCCATATTTTGCTGTGTTGCTGGCTGCTTTTTCTTCATTGGGCGGGTGGTTTTTTGGCTATGATCAAGGCGTTACTGGTGGTATAGTTATCATGAATTCATTTAAAAATGACTTTTGTGTTGGAGTGTATGCCAATACAAGTGGGTGTGATCTTTCAATAGCTGCTTTGCCTCCTGATTACAGACAATTTTTAGTACTTTTTACGTTAATGTATAATCTCGGATGTTTTATTGGTGCTCTGTTCATTTCTTCATTTGTAGCCGAAAAATTCGGACGTCGAGCAATTATTTTCACTTCAGCAGTTCTATTTATAATTGGTACTTCAATGGTTATTTTACCACCGGGAGGTTCAAAAACGATAATGATTTTCATACTGATTGGACGGATTGTCGAAGGTACAGGCGTTGGTTGTGCTTCATTTTCCTGTCCACTATACGCTTCAGAAATAGCTCCCACAAAGCTACGTGGTATGCTTTCCGGCTTTATGACAATGGGTATAGTAACTGGTTTGTTTGCTGCCAATGTGGTCAATTTCTTTTTTCAAAATCATAAATGGGGCTGGCGATTGTCAAATGGTATTATTTTAATTGCACCAGCTATCATTATGGTGGGCATATTTTTCTGTCCTGAAACTCCTCGATGGTTATTCAAGAAAAAAGGTCGAGCATCGGCAGAGAAAAGTTTAAAACGCATTCGTAAAATATACGATGTAACTGCTGAGTTAAACGCTATTGCCGATGCTGTACGAGAAGAAGGCAATGAACTTTCAATCAAAGAACTCTTTACAACAAAGAAAATGCTGGAAAGACTTGGTATAGGTATGGGCATACATGTTTTTCTGCAAACATCAGGTATTAGTCCTATATTTGCATTTGGTGGTATTATTTTCGAAAGCGTTCTTGGATCAGGTATCATATCATTGTTGATTTTGTCTGGTGCAAACATGCTTAGTACTATTCCAGCCTTATTCTTGTTCGATAGAATCGGACGTCGAAATCTTCTTATATTTTGTGGCTTAGGTATGGTAGTTGGCCATCTTGTAGCAGCCACAGTATTTTTCACTGGTTGTAATGTAGTCAAAACTGTCATGAATGATATCATAGTGAATGAAGAAGTGAATTGTGGAACAAATGCTGGTGTGTTGATGCTTATCTTTACAGTTATTTACATAATTTGTTTTGCACTTTCTTGGGGAGCAATCTGTTGGATTTATGCAGCTGAGATTTATCCTCTTAATGTCAGGGCTAGGGCAATGTCACTAACAACAGCGAGCCATTGGTTTATGTGCATAATTATGTCTTACATATTGGAGCTAATAGCACCAATAGGAATACATGGAGTATTTTATCTTTTCGGTAGTCTGTGCCTATTGGCTGTAGTATTCGTATATCTTTTTTGTCCAGAAACGAAAGGAGTTTTGCTAGAAGATATTGAAGAAGTGTTTGATAATTTTCAATTGAAAGATAGAATAATAGTAAAAGTGTTGCGAAGATCACCATGTCAGCGAAATACAAAAAAAATATACATGTAATACGTGAGAAAATCATTTCAACTTTCAACTATTGGCGAAAAGGTGTACGTTTACAAGTGGAGTCAACATGAAGGTAATGGCTCTTTGAATGTTGAATAGTTGAAAAAAGTTTTAAAACTCGAATCAAGCTAACGAGTTCGATACTTGTATATTTTTTACGTTAATACTAAGCCAAGACACTTAAACCTAGGCGATGGCATCTTTTTATGTATTTTCTTGAATTATATGTTGTGTCTTAGTCTTATTTTATTGATATGGCTATTTTGGTCACTTTTCTGTTTTCTGATAATATTATCTTCATTTCAGACTAGTAAAAATAATAAAATTTCTCTTTGTTGTAAAACAAAGTCAACTGTTATTTTATTAACATTAGCTATGCATCAAACGCGAACTTTCCGCTTCGGTCATATTTAGTGAGTTCATAAAAGGAAGCAGAAGTAAACTAAAAGAAGGAATTTTAGGGTTAGCTATGATAAATCTACGCACAATAGAATAAATGATACAAAAATTGGCAGACTAAAGACATCCAAAAAATAGATAAATCATGTTTAGAATTATTCGAACCCGAACTTTACTGAAGCTTATGGTTGTTTCGGAGATAGGTCATATACTCTAAGAAATGCTTGAAAGGTGTGTGATTGGGGAAAAGATGAACACTCCATACGAATCCACACATACATCTCACACCCATATCCGCACATGTACATCCAAAAATCTATATGCACAGCTACACCCATCCACATCCAGCCGAAACTAGTGTACAAGAAAACTTTCTCGTTATTTAAATTGAGTTAGTTTTAATCACAATACAAAACTGGGTTACATAGGCTAATACGGTACTATCATCATCTTTGGTCAACATCAAAGATTTGCTCGCAACAAATCAACGTTAAGTCAGAAAAAAAGAGAACAGATATTAGAAGAAGGATGAAATTCTGATGGAGACTCACTGGTTTTGCGTCTCCACTACAATCGATGAATGAACGAAAGTAAAACATACATATCATACGAAGAGTTTATACTCAGAAATTGTTTGTGCACAAAGTTTGATTTGTAACACAATGAATGGTCACATAGTTACTCTTTCACTTCGCCTTCATCATCGTGTCATTGTTTTTTATCCGTCATCCATGTCAACAATAATATATGATAAACAGTCTTTGTGCGCCACATGTTAAAACAAAAAACAACAGATTTATTTTCCACATCAAGATCAATTCATCGAGCATCTTGCATCTTGAGCAGTATGAGATTACTTGAAATTAATGGGATGACTTAATCATAATATCCTTACATACTAAATGTTGTTGCATGGCTTGTCCGGCTAACGATCAACCAGAGTGATTGAAGTAGAAGTTGAATATTTTTAGAAGCTAATAATATCATTTTATAGGACACATCTTACTGTGTTAGGAAATGTATTTTGTTTTATCTTTTCTTTCAAGAGGTAGAGAAAATATATACAAAAGACACTTGATATGTTTTCAAAAATATTTTGCTGCTTTCGTACATATAAAGAAAATGATCGAAAATGGTTAAAACTGCAACTGAATTTAGAGCAGTAGCACATATTCTGAATGTGCAAAGTTAGAGCTTTCTTCTCATACAAAGTTCATCTGATCCATGATTGTTGAAAGAAAATAGGGTTACTTAAAAGCTTCATGAATTTTGGCGTGAATGCGTTATCAAAAAGAGCTCTTAGTTTATTTAACGTTACAACAGCAGAGAATTTTGTCGTAATCGCTGAGGATCCTTGGTTAACTTTCTACAAGGTATTCAACAGTCGACTTATATTTCGGATATTCCTTTCTGTTTACAAAAAAAATTAGTAACGCACTCATGTCAGAGATATTTTAGCATAGAAGTTTTTTTTTGACCTTGAGATTGATTATACTCAGTTTTTGCCAATCACACAGATCCCAAAGTTATCACTAAAGTGATGATGGTAGAACAACTCTTCTGTCTACAAAAAAAGCAAGTAAAGTTACAGAAAAAGATTATTATTAGAGCATTTTATCAAGAATCAACTTCATAACTAAGCAAGGCATTGCTTTCAGACATTTTGCACTTCAAATATAGCCATTAACTTCTAGCATATAAAATAAATACGTAATTTTAAAAATAGAAAAAATAGAAGTACCTAAGCATTAACTTGTTATATGAAATTACTAAGCAAGTACGAGTGTTTTTCGTTCATTTTGATATTATAACATGAAAAGAGCATGGTACTATTGAAAAAGAATTTCTCTAGTGGATGAATCCACTTGTCGATGAATTTCTGTTTTTGGCTTGGAATTCTTAAGGTCTTTTAGTTTACCAAAATTTCAAAAAGTGGATACTATTGGAAAAGAGACTCATTGTGCTAATTCAGCACAAACAGGCTATTTTCCATGATCAACAGCAAGTGTAAAATCCCTTGATGCAAAAAATATCGAGGTAAAGTTCTATTATTGGGTTGTTCTATATTCTAAATTTTAAGGCATATATGTCTTTCTATGAAAAATTTGGTTCGAAAGTAGCATTTAAAGGATTTGTTTTTTATCTTTTAGGAAACAGAAGGATAGCCTGTGACATTGCATGCAGTACTTTATGCATATATCCGAAGGTTCTGTATACTAGATGAAGAATGTTCATTTTTTAAGGACTGCTATTGTTTATTCCTGAAGAAGGTAACGAATCGTATTCATAATTTAACGTAGAGGTCATAATAACTCGAAAATGAAAAAAAAGTAGACTATCTCTAGCCTAGAATGTATAATAGAAAGTAATGAGTCCCCAAGAGCAAATGATTCGAACGCGAAAAGTGAGTGCATTACCTGAATACTTATCGTATAGCTTTTCAACAACACAACAGATCTCCATACTATTTTTGCCACATAGAGTGTTTAAAGTGTCCTCTATAAATTGTACTCTAGCAATCATATTTACAATTTAAGTATTCGCAGAAATTTTAGAAGCTCTCACATTACCGAAAGAGGGAGGGTCTTTTTTTGTGAGTGCGTTACCGGCATGTATTTTTAGTATAAAAAACGAAGCACGAAATGGAATTGCATGAAATTTAGAGAAGTTAGAGTGCTTTACAATGTATATATGTGTATCGAATTTCAAAGCTCTACGTCTTGTAGTTGCTAAGGAAGTTAGATGGAAAGTTAAAAAAGCGTGAGTGCATCACCTGCGGACAAGCCGTGCATCGATTATATTTTGCTTCAGGATATTCTAAATGAAACCTTTAAACTGGATTTTAACTCTTAAAGAGTATATGATTCTTCTAAAAGACATTTAGGTATAACCGGTATTCTATACTTAACAAAAATTTATCTGCAACTGTCGGTATATTCAGAGTCAAAAATGATCTCATAGGTCCCAAACAGACTGACTTAATTCAAAGTGAATTAAAGCACACGATTAACGTTTCTACGTAACAGCGCCAATTACATTGCTTAATTCACTTTGAATTAAGTTGATCTGTTTGGGACCATAAAATCATAAAACAAATCTTTCGTACGTGAATATTTTCTCTAAAAACTTACAATGAAAGTCAGAAATCTAGTTTTGATGGTCTTAATCTTCGGCAGATCGTATTCCAAACATTTCTGTTCAAGGCTTCTGATCTACCTATCCTGAGAGAAAACTCTGGCAAATACACAAATTTTTTTTTCAGAGTCCTATCAGCTATTATCATGGAGAGGAAAACGTAACCATTCATATATTTTCATGATTCCTTGTTGTTTCGTTCTACTCTATTTTTATGCTAAACTTTGCAAAAAATACATGAATAGACAAAAAATATTATTTAATATTCGTACAATAATTTGATATACTTGCGAAAAGGTGATAAAGAAAAGTAAGAAATAGAATTTATCATCTATTTACGTTCAAAAAAAAGACAAAATAATTTTTCTTTATGGTTTTATCTTTTTCATCTTCATCATTTTTACTCATGAAAAAAATCCTTAGAACTACCAGAAATAGAGGATTATTTATAAAATTGGATAATTATTGTTCGTGAAGGTAAATATGGCATAGGAAAGTAATTTAATTGTAAACATTCGTTCATTTCTTTTCATTTAGCCACTTCATGGTCATAGACTAGTAACAATATTCTGTATAAAGACAGAGAGTTGATGGATTAGAAATCCCAATACAGAAGGACAAAAAAAAAATATACTCGAACGCGCTCTCTCCACTTTCTTCAGTGCAAAAGCTTTCTTCCTTGTATGTCCTTTTAATAAAAACTTTCAGAGTAAAACATACGGCTTCATACGCTAGAATTCGATATTAAGACCAGCTTGTTTTTTTTATGCCTACCAAAGCTGATTTGAATATGATAAGTGATCAATAATGGAATGGTAAGTATCGTTATTATTCTTCAAACGATAATCTTCATTAATTGTATGAATTTACAGAATCACTTTTTAGTTGTTTCAATGAGTTTGATGCATGCTGTCGTGGTTGTTAGGATGCACCAGCCGTGTTTGGTCCGAATGCACATACGATCAACGGTAGTAACTGTTTATTATGTTGTTGTGCTTACTTAATTCGCATTGATCTAAATTTATGTAAGATCCCAGAGATGAGACCAGTTCGTTTTGAAGGTTCATAAATCGTATTCATTTAATTATAATACGCTATAATAAATCTTTCGACAACTTGCCCACTAAAGCGCAGTGAGCTAATTACGCACAGTTATCATTGCTTCAGACTTTCTCTAATGTAGCTCCCTGATATTTTAAAAGTGATATTAATGATCTTTAAAGGGACCAACAAATATGAGTTGCTAATGATTTTTCTAGCATACATACTTTGCTTTTGTTGAAATGCGAATTTTTCTGTACAAAAGAAACTTAGTGCCTTTTGAAAGCTTAGATAACTATTTTCCAAATATAAGCTGTAAAATTGTTTTTGTGTATTGTTCACGGAATAGCATATAACCTAAATTTAATTATAAAATATTGATATAATGGGGAAACAGTATCTTTTAACCATTGACCGATATTAAGGGTGTGGGTGTGAGTTCTCTATTTACTCACACCCCACACCCACCCTCAGTTAAATGATTGATATTCGCCGTAGCTTCGTCAATAACAAAATTTTGCTCTTCTCGAGAATGACTCGTGTTACGCAGATAGTTCTGTTCTACTTATACGCAATTTGTTATTGTCGTTTCTGCAATGAATAAAAGCATATCAAGATCAAAAATAAATGGGATATTTATAGGATTACTGCATAGAAAAACTAATATGTACACAGATTCGATTACCTATTCTTAAGCTGAAAAACAATTTAATCGAAAAATGCACAAGAAAAGACAGAATATTTTTCAATTCATTCGTACTTGTTGAAGGAAAAAAAGAAAGATCAAAAGAATGAATATCAGAGTAGATATATATATCCTGATTTCTCTTATACAAGTTATTGTTGGGACGTTTATATGTATAAATGATGGCATGTTCGAAAATCCGGACAATCATCTGACATTTTGGCATTGCGTTCACGGCAACGGCTATTTAAAACCTTGCCCGGCAAATCTAATTTGGTCACAAATAAGACAACGATGCGTTTCGAAAAGTAAGTATCGCTTTGCTTTGTTGCATTAAGAACGCTCGAGCCAGAAAGCTTTTTATTATTATAAATTTTGTCGTATGATCGCAGAGGAAAAAGTTCGACTTTCACTGTAAGTTTGTTCGACTTTTTAATAATTCTAGCGGTGAAACCGACAGATACAACAACAACAACTTTGTCGTCAACAACAATAACAACAACAGAAGCGGTTTTATCAACGACAGAAGCACCATCAAGTAAGTTTTATAAAACGGTACTCGTACAATCTGTTTGGGAATGTGAAAACTTTGGATGGAAGCATTTTTAGAGTGTCATTGATGTGAATTAATATTCAGTTGTTCTTCTTGTATTAGCAGAATTTGATAAGTCTCATGAGACTAGTACTTCCACGATTGATATCTGACGCACGAGAAAAGATTCTCTATCCACCAATACGCAGTATATTCGAAAAAAATCTTTGAAGTCTGTGTTGGTAAACAGCATTTGATTAAACCGAAAAAACTACTTTCTTATTTCATAATTTCGAAACTACCGAATCCTATTAAAAATGAAGGAAAAAATTTCAAACTTTAACCAATGTAAATTCGTGAGATAAAAAGTTCAACGTACAGGAAAGTACTAGTAAGATGAATAGCCGCTGATGTCATTCGAATGTAACAATTCTTTTTAGGCTGTTTGGATTCAAATTTAATTACATTTGAAAATGCATCAACGTATTCTAAGATTCCAAACGATTATTATGGTTTAAAATGGACGAATGCTTATGTACTTGATACACAAATGTATCCACAATGGTCTGAAAGTGGCTTTTATTCGGCTGTAAAATCAGGCACATGGGTGGCATTTAATATGAATGGTGAACGAATGACAATTCATATAGATCCAACAAATAAATTTAGTATTAAATCATTTGTTGTCTCATCTGCATGGAAGGATAATCTCACACTATCAATGATTTCACAACGTGCATCCACATATTATAAGGAAGCATCATTTAAAATAGAGAAAAATCATTCAACTACGATTGAATTAAACTGGTTTGATATTGACACAATTACATTTTATGCATCAATTGATAATAGTGGGAATGGAGAGGTTTTTGTTATCGATGATTTATGTTTGTAAGTATTGTCAACTAGTTTTATAATGAATTGTGGTCGAAAAACTTCAGAACTGAAATTCGGAATGAAAAAAATCGAAAAGGTTGTGTTGCGATCTATGGAAGTACAGACTGTTATAGGCATCGGCGATGCTCATCAACAACTGATCGATAGAAATCAGTGCCGTATTCTGATTTGTAAAATATTGATTTTTTTGCATTATCTCGACCTGTAAGAGAGATCTGAAGCTTTTGAAAAGCGTCCGAAATAACATCTATCGCATATAATATAACTGATTATGAAATAAAAAGGTGAATAACAAAAACCACATCGATTCAATATCAAAATCAAGATATCAACGCAAGTAGATCTTGAAAAATGTTGTTGACGAGAATTTCTTATCTTCGTCAACAATATTTCGACTGTACCATCGTAAAATAGATATGGAAACAAACGTCACCATCCTGTGCTATTCAAAATCTTATTTTTACAAAGGATAGTTTCAACATTTGGCTATCAAATGCTAAAATAAGCCATATGTTTTTTGTGTCTTCTTTCCTCGTTAACGTATTCAAAAATGATCCAGTGTGTTTATTTCATAAACAGACAAATTGTTGACAAATTTTGTGCTTTTCATTTAGACATTTAAATACAAATTTAACACCAACACTAACATCAACATCAACATCAACATCAACATCAGCTCCAGCAATATATCCATGTTCATTAAATGAAGTATTATATCAAAATCATTGTTATTATTTGGACGGTATAGGAGGACAATGCTCGGATGGTTATAGTCTTGGATCAGAAACAATTTTATCTCGTATAGCTGATTTATTTATTGGTTTAAATTATAAAACAACAATTTCGGATAACTGTTGTGTTGTAACATCGGAGAAATACTCAAATTATGGAATTGCTAAATTACATCAATGTAATAAGCAAGGACCATTTAGAATTGTACCAGTTCTCAATGGTGGTGGATGCAGAAACTTTACAAACAAACATTCAAAACAATTAACATTTTGTGTTAGCAATTGATTTTATTTACATCCACATTGTTGTACCTTCTTCAGTGAGAAAGAAAGGATAATACAATAAAAAATGTACTGCAGCATCTTCAACTGAAGAATTAATGAAGAATTTTAATGAAACAATAGAAGGACGAGCTAACAGCTATCTATCTCAAAACAGAATGATAATAAATGCTTTTTGGAATAATAGCTGAATGATAAGAGCTAGATGCCTAAAGTTTTCCATTCTTAAAAATAGACATCAAAAACCTTCAGTCTATTGAAAAATTCAATTCAAAGCATTTCAGTCAAGTAATGTATTTTACTAGTATTTTTGAAGAAAGTTATTAGTTAGGGAAATTTCACTGCAGGATAATCTACAAATTTGCATAAGTTCCGAAGTTGCAGCTATCTTCTTCATTAATCGTGATATTAGACTTTCTTGGAGCTTCAGAAAGTGTCTCGACGCATAGTGTATTAATCTAAAAAATAAATTAACTATAACAAGGGGTCTCAGCTATTGACAAACAAGATAGTTGAAGTCGTTCACTTAGGAATCAGCTCTAAAGGAAAGCTATAGGCCATATTACATAGTTTTGAAGGAGTCTTTATTTGAAACATAAACTATACCATAATTTTAGCTGTAGAAGCGCATAGCATACATTATGGTAATATACTAGAAGCTGAAGAGCACAAGTGATGATATTATCTCTAGCGAGTTTTTCATTACAATATTTGGGCTAAATCAGCGAAAACGGGATATTCACCCGTTGTATTTGAATGCAATTGTCTATCAGTATAGGCTTTTTGAGTGAATTGTTTTTGCAAAGGCTTATGTAAAATTGTCTGCTGTTTCACACGACTATTAATTAATTAATAATTAACTAATTAAGAAATAATTAGCGAATATCTCCATAACTGAATGACGAAAAAACTTGAAAACTTCAGGATAGGCTCTAGAGTATGAGCCGCATATATGGTAAAATTTTCAGCTAAATTGGATGTCAAAAAGTTCCTTCCAAAAAATCGACCCTTCAGAGCCTTTAGACAGAGCTGAAACGAAAGTGTTTGTTTTAGTATTATTCTACGGACCCCCACCATTGACATGAGTCCCTTGGAATTGATTTCGAACTTTTCAGTTCGTTACCAGAGCATTTGAACGGTAGTGAAGTCGTACTCAGTCACGTCACTAACGCCGAATAAATTTTATTTTCTGAAAAATGTAGACATGCTCAAAATAATTTTACACCGAGATTTAGTAGTCTTAGGAGTCGTGTCTAGTATCGTCGCGTATTAAGTTTTCGGCGATTGTGCAACACTTGGAAATGTTTAAAACTCAAAGTATATCAAGTGACAGTTGATGTCCTTTTTGGTGTCACGTCGCTAGCACTAGTTTTTCGTTAATAACTCCTCTGAACAGAGCTCTAAAGTGTTGATTTTTTCATGGCATCTAAAGTCAATAGAGACTCGTACAACATACAAAAATCACGCATAAACCTGCTGATAATTCCGAGATATGCATACTCCAAGTTTGCGATGTCACGTCGCTGACGAATGATTTAGCCCATCTATCGTTCTAACAACGCGAATATACGCACATCGATTGAGATTCATTAATGATCATGCATTGGAATTATAGTATCTCCAATACAATTCACCCAAATATCGTAAGCTGAGAGCATTTTTTATTTGCCATAGCAAAGGAAGAATTTAATTTATTAAAAATAACGAATTTCCAATACCAATTCTTTTCCATCATTTAAATTCTCGCGTAAAACATTGTTTAATCAACTAATGATCAAGATGTTCGACAAGAATTATGCCATTAATATATAAAACTAGCTCAACAACCCAAAGTGAGAATGATGATGATCTATCTTTGTTTAGCCGAAACTCAAATGTATCGGTATCATCAACAGTTTAATGCTAAAAATGAAAAAAGCTGGAATGAAAACACACTCTTCCAGATTATCAAAAGTTAATCAAAATTATAATTGAATAAATTGAATTAATAATACAATCTCAGTCATATCCATCGACATTTTTACCATTGAGAACATTCGATAACAATCTAAAAGAATTTGTTCAAATACAAAAACAATATTTATCGAATAAATTGAGGGTGTGGGTGTGAGTGTGTGTGTGAGTGTGGGGGTGGCGGTGGTGGTGGGGTGTGGGTGTTGGTATAACTGTGGCTGTTTATCTTATAGCGATCTACACTCACATCCATATACACAGCCACACACCCACATTCACTTCACGTTTTAAAAATCATAGATAATTGAAGTTTCGTTTTTGAATCTTCATAAGAACACTTTTCTATTTTCTCACACACTGCGAAAACATGACCAAGAAGTTCAATAGAAAATTTACAAAAAAATTTCTTTTTATTGCTCAAGAAACGCATAACTCGTCAAGATTTATTTTGTTATCTTTTTATGGTTGAGTAAATGATTATAGCAAAAAAAACCAGTCATGTATATTTAAACAAACCACATTGTATCCTGTATATTATTATTGAGTATCATCACTTTTGTCTTGATATCTTCAAGTGTAATTGTTTCCGATGTACTTTCATCATCGTCACTAAAACAAGACAAGAAAGTAAAAACTAATAATTATAAAAATTATTCTTTTACATTTCCAAAGTTTCGTCATCATTGTCATTAAATTTGTATGCAACTGAAGCATATACTGCTAAATGAGCATAATGTACTAGAGCTGGAATCGAAACAGATTTCGAACATCGAGCATCTGTATGACAGAGCTAAATAAAGATAATATTTATCATTTTCTATTGAATGAATCTAAATATTTAGGAGAAAATAAAATTTACATACCCAATATGTTAATTCTTGAATATCGTTACTATTAAAACCATTTTCATCATGGAGTACATGGTAGAGTGCCGGACGTGATGTTCCCATTCTAATATTATAAATAGAACAAAAGACATATATTTTACAAAAACAATATTGAAAAACTTACATAGCAGCTTGCGAACACAAATAAAAATCAAATTGGGATGGATGTGTTATGTCAACATCAATAACGGTGCCAGCTTCAATATTACTTGTTTTTTTACCATCATAAGCAAAAAATCGAGTATTATGTCGTTCTTTAACTATGATAAATGTTAAACAAGCCATTGGATTTTTTCCATATACAACTATTATCAAAAGAGAAATATTTCTGTCGTTTATTTAGTTAAAAGAAAGAGTAGCTCTTTTGTTTTACCTTGGAAAGTAGATTTTATTTTGCTCACTTCATTATCAAGTACTTTTTGAAATTGTCCATCATCGATACCATCACGATAAAAAACAATTCGATTCGGTAATGTATTACCGCATGAACGAGCAAATACTTGAAGCAATTCAATAACCATCTTGTCCATATCTTTGATAACCTCAATCGAACAACGATTTTTCTCTGGATATTCTAAAATCATAAAAGTAAGATTTTGTGTATTTTAATCAAATTTCGACTAAATTATTTACGTTCACAAAGACAAGCCGCATAATGACTACAGGATGGATTACACGATCCAACAATCGCAGCAATAGATGGCCTTTTTCTTGAAGAAGTAGTATGAGTGGCCTAGAAAGAGAACAATAAGTATTTATTTACATAGTTTCAAAAAAAAATTATTACGTCCACTCCAAAAAACATAAAACGATCAGTATTCGATATTTGACTAAGTGCCGTTTTCAGATTCACGATACCATTGATACCTCCAATTTTAGTATTGATTTTTTGACTTAAATTTTCAACATCTAAACAAATAAAATTTCGAAACATTAAAGCAAAACCTATAGGAATAAAAAAAATTAAGGGAAAACGTTAATGGCATACACATATGAAGTTTTTCTGAATTTATTTCTATTGCTTGAAAGCTAGCGCATTGAGTTACTAAACCAAGTTTTTGATTTCCTAACTGTTTCACGTGATCACGGAGTGCAGGTTCTGTTGAATTTAGAATAACAATTGCCAATTGCCAACCATCAGTTTTAATATTGTTGAATGTTTCGTCAATATCTTTTCGTTGATCCGGCTTGGCAATAGTCTTCGGATTTGGGTTAATTTGAATACCATATCGTTGCAATAGCTGTTAGTATTATTAAAAACAAACAACATCGTTTTATTCGATCATCAGAGAAAAATTCTTATCTCACCAATGGTAAGTGTTGTTCGAATTTTTTTAAAATATCGATTATATTTTTGTCAGGTTTTGAACCAACATAAACCATACTCCATTTATTGATAACCGGTGTTGAACAAAGTTGATTTCGAATTTTCCATTTACCCAATGGAACATGTTCAACAACGTTTTTATTGTTTTGTGTTCGATATGTAATTTGAGGTGGTGGTAAAATTCGAGCTACATTTAGAACAAAGAAGACAATATAGAATTATCAATGGAATAGTAAGATTTTGTTCACCTCGAATTTTCAACATTTCTTGAATATTAACTTGAATATTCAATGCTTTTAAATAACGATCAGAGTTCCAGTTACGTTGATGTATTATATCCATAATTTGATAGTAACGTTGATCAGATTTAACAATTGATTTTTTCGCTACTAAAGCTTGTTGTACACTATCTAATGGTCTCATAGCACGTTCCCATTCAACAATCTATGAAAAGATACACATCTTATTTATATATTTAATGATGGTCTAAGTTTTTGTCGAGATGTTCTTCTCGCGAAACATCAATATCGAAAGCATCACATATATTTTTCTTTTTCAATAGATATATACCTGAACAGCTTCCATTGGTAACCATTGAGCACGTTCTTCTTCACCATTTCTAGCATCGATACAAGGTAAAATGTGGATATTGTAATTTCTTGTATTTCAACGCAACATAATCTGCTACTGTGATTTATTTTGGTAGAGATGCACTTGCTGAATCTTCATTGCGCCTTAAAGCAAATTTGAGTTGATTGGCCGGTAAAGCAAAGTGTTTCAATCGATATTGAATAGGACGTTCAACATGAATAGTTTTTACTATAAAAGAGAAGATTA